AGGGGGAGCTGTAGAACATCTGATAAATGTCAATAAATAAATTGGAAAAATGTGACACCATGATTCGTGGGTTTTGATTGGTGATTGGGGTTCTTTAATAATGAAAGATTTGTTTATTGCTATAGTTTTTATCTTTCCTCATGACCCATAGCAGCTCTGAGCCTGCCATGGATTTATCACCATCTACTGAGCCACAGAGGTTTCTGCCACTGCCTGCCCTTGTCTCCTGCTTGTTCCCTCATGGCCAGGTCCCAGGAGTCCTCCAAAGAAAAGTGTTTTCTCAACAGGTACACTCCTGTAATCCCAGCCATTCAGTTGAGGATTGAGGCAGGAGGATCAAAATCTAGGGCCAGTTGGGGCAATTTAAAAAGTGTTTCCTCAGAAGACAGTACACAAGTCTTCCATTAGGGGGTGCAGTTGAGCCTTGTGTTTCAGGCAGTCAGGGCACGTGCCTGTAGCCTCCTTGGCTTAAGGCCTGGAGGGATTCTGTTCTTCAAGCCCCATGGTATGGCTCCTGGAGAGGCAGGAGCTTGAGGAGGAAGGGACCTCTGCTGCCTCTCAGAGAAGGTTTGGCTAACACTGCTTAACCCATCTGTACAGTCACTATCCATGTGTATGACTTTGTTCCTTTTTAGCCATGTCTGCCCCTTTATTTCCTTTGCCAGCCTGCTAGATGTGAAGCCTGGACAAACTCTTCCCTTCTCTAGCCTTCCTCCCTGTTCCCGCCCTGGGCTTCTTGCCAAAAAGGCGCAAGGAGTTTTGCTTCTTCCTCTTGGCACCCCTTATAGAAGTCACCAGGCCTGTTTTCCTGTAGTGACTTGCTTTCAGACATTGTCCTTGTGAGATAAAATAACAAGGGTTAGTGTTGGAGTAATCTTATGGCATGCTGGGTAAACAACTCATGCCTATTATTTCAACTCCAAACCACTCTGTGAAGATTTAGTAGGCCCATTATTCAGATCAGAAAACAGGCACAGTGGGGTAAAGTTACTGCCTTCCTGTAGATTATAAGAAATGGAGCCAGGAGTATCTGCATTTGAGAATCTTAACTCACAATCCCAAATGTGTCCCTCCTGGAGCAGGAGTCTCAACCTATCCTGAACTAGGGGGTGAAGAGAAAGCCCACCATTAGGCTGATAGTTAATTGTCCCTGGGACTCAGCTCAGCATGTCAGTCACTCTGGGTATTACTGGGGTGTCCAAGTCCCTCCTAAATTTGGGGCTTGACCAAGAAAACATAAGATGCTCATACATAAGAAAAGTCCATGTTGCTGACCCAGAGTGGCCAAATGTTGGTTTTGGAGGACTGCTGTTTACAGAGACAGATTCCCAGAAGTGCTGGGGCAGATTGCATTGAGCCTAGTGTAGAGCTGCTTTTGTTTATTTTAATTTGGGGGGGTTGTAGATTGATTCAGTACCTTTATTTATTTATTTTTTAGTGTGGTGCTGAGGATCGAACCCAGTGCCTCACACATGCTAGGCAAGCACTCTAGCATTGAGCCACAATCCCAGCCCCTAGAACTGCTTTTATGAGACCCCAAGTTCTCTGAGGGAACCCCCCATCACCCTATCCCCCTGACATTTTTCCTTCAGTATGGGGGTCTTTACTACTGAGCTACATCCCCAGGTCTTTTTATTTTTTTATTCTGGGACAGGGTCTTGCTAAGTCACCCAGTCAGGTCTCAAACTTGCTGTCCTCCTGCTTCAGCCTTGCTATTCACTAGATTATAGACATGTGCTCCTGGGCCTAATCCTCCTGACATCTTCACCATCGTGTACCTCTTGGGCATCATAGCTCACTGGTTCCACTTTAGGAATGGGGAGGAGAATTGAGCCTGGAAGTGGCCCAGATGCCTATGATCAATGGATCCCATGGGTGAGCAGAGCCCAAACTGGCTCCTGGCTTGTCCTGCAGCGCCCCCTCACGGAGGAAGGTAGCAGCATCTCCTAGGACCTGAAATTTGATTCCCAAATTTTGGAAAGCTCCCAACACTTCTTAGGTCAAAGTAAAGTTTTTACAAGCTCAGTGAAAATTCATCTTGTCCCCTCTGAATCAACAATCAGAAGATAACTTACAAAATAAGTTATCTAAGATAACAGTCACCAGCCTCCAAACAAATCTAGGCCTCACATTCACTAAGACCTGGCAGCTACTTCCTCACCTTCCTGTCCTGTCTCTTTTCCATTCTTTTCTTCACACTGCTGCCCATTTGACCTCTCCATAATGTCAGGCCAAGGACCCTGTTTGTCTGTACTCCTCTTTGTCACCCCCCAATTTGGCCAGTTTGGGCCCCTGATGTTCATGTGCTGTTTCAGCCACACTGAGCAGCCCTCCTGCATAGAGCTGACATCTTCCACACCAGCGTAGCTTCATTCCTGACTTTTCCTTGGCCTGGAAAGCACTAGCTCTCTTCTTCAGGAGTAACTGGAGGGCCACCTGATTACTACTTCTCCCCTGATTACTACTTCCCTAGGCAACAGTGGCCACCCCATTACCTGTGGTCCCTTATTTCCCCTTGAATCATGCTATCTCAGCATTTCCCCCTTAGAGTGAGCTTCTAGGAGCAGCAGTAACTTCTCCCTTCCTGTGGCTCCCATTACCCCTGCTTAGAACAGTTCTTTTCTAATCATCATTTCCTCTTTCACCTGTGGGGAAATGAGCAGAGCTTCCTTATCAATGCTGGTCTTGACCATACCACCAGCCCCAAAGACCACCGAGAGAGTAGATGCTTGGCCTTCTTAGATCAGGCCTAACCAGAGAGCCAAGTCCACAGATTTTGTAGAACTCAGAGGAAGGCAGAGAGCCTCACAGGCTCCAGCATGTGATCTTACTTCCTTTTTTAAAAAATTTAGTTGTTGATGGATCTTTATTTTACTTATTTGCATGTGGTGCTAAGAATTGAACCCAGGGCCTCACACATGCTAGGCAAGCACTCTTCCACAGAGCTACAACTCCAGCCCATGTGGACTTACTTTCAACATGTGCAAGAACACTTCCCTGCAGGCCTCTGCTTCCTCAGCCATAAAGTGAGGTCAACCTCAATTATCTAGCTCTGAAATACCCTGAAGAATCTGAGTTCATCTCTATGGATGAGATTCAGTCTGTGTGGGCCCTATGGACAGTATCACCTTGGGGTGGGCAAAATACAACCCAGGGAAATCTAAAGATGAAAAGAGAAAGAAGTGTCCAGACCTCATGGCTTGCCTATGACTTTGCAATGGAACAACTGAGTATCCAAGTGACCCTCCCAAAGGAGGGAACAGCCAGGAATAATGCCAAGAAAAAGAGCCATGCCCATTTTCATCCTGCCTGGGCCTGCCCACTCAGCCTCCTCTGATAACCATGCTGACCATTATTCCAGAGTCCCAACACATTGTTGTGTAATTCAGATAGCTTAATTCATTCAGATTCTGACCTATCCTCTCCACAGCCTCCTCCAACCCCTCAATGGTCTCCCCATCTTTGGTACCTTTTATGGGGGTTGTCTGATAGGTGGATATGATTCAATGATGTGTGTCTTTGGGGAATTCCCAGTTCAGTTGCAAAGACAGTTATAATCCACAGTTTCAATAGTATACAATGCAAGGCAACATTGCCTGCTGCCTGGCTCAGCAGAAAGAGGGTACCCAAATTGTCAAGGATCATGTGTGCACTAGCCAGACGGATGGGTTAGGGAATAAAGGCTTCTTAGCAGGAAAACCCCATGTGCAGAGAGTGAAAGTAAGAAAAGGTGTGGCTGACCAGGGAGTTAGAGACATTGGGAAGTTTCAAGGCAGCTGGGGCAAGAGGAGAAAGGTGCTAGAGGGACAGTGACACCATCAAGGGCGCAGAAGTGTGAGGCAGGGTCACTGTATAGATCCAGCTGTGGTAATGGGTGGGAAATATTTCAAAGCTGCCACTTAGGGCAGGTAAATGAAACTTTCCACCCAGGAATACCATGTGTTGGTCCCCTTGAGGTCAGGCTAAACACAGGCCCTTCCCTGAGAGACAGCAGGGCCAAATGCCTGCTTCTCATGACCTTTTTTTGTGGGGAGGGGATACTGGGGATTAAATCCAGGGTACTTTACCATTAAGCCACATCCTCAGTCCTTTTTATTTTTTGAGACAGGGTCTCACTAAGTTCCTCAGAGCCTCACAAAGTTGCTGAGAATGGCTTTGAACTTGCAATCCTGCCTCAGCCTCCCACGCCTCTGGGACTACCAGTGTGTGCCACCATGCCCAACTGCATGACCTTTTCTCTGCCTCAGGTTCCTTCCCCACTCCCTCTTCATTCCCCACCATTAGCCTACCTGACCCTGATTCACCTGGGGAGACTTAAATACACAGAACTGGGCCCTTTGCCTGTCCAAACCCACTTCTTGTTCAGGCCTAGGATGGTACCCAGGAATCTCATTTGTCAGATGACATGGCCCCTGGTAATCCAGATGACTGGCCCAACTTCAAACTCTGCACAGGTGAGTCCTTCACCCTTCTTCACAGCCTCTTTCTTTCCCTAATTCAAGCATCATATTTGGGGAATTGGTCTTAGAAAAGGAAAAATGTTTATTTTCCAAGTTCTCAAATGGGAGCAGGGGCCAAATTCCCCCCTCCATCTAGCCCTCAGGCTACAGCCCTGGGTCAGGCCTGGAGAATGGGAACACCCAGTGGGTGAAGTCACTTGTACTGAGGGGAGAGTGGGGGCACAAGGGGAGCAGTGCAGACACTCAGCATCTTGTCGATATCCACCTGGGTTGACTTATCCACCTCTGCCTTGAGGTGACCACTCATCCCCAAGCTGGGCAAAACCCCAAGCTCCACTCCAGCCTCCTCTCCCAGGGGAGCCAAGGCATGAGTGGGGGGAACTAACACATTGGAATAGGGCAAAGGGAGACCTAAGCCCAGCTCACCTGCCACAGGGAGCAAGGCCTGCAGCTGCTCCACACCTGCCTCCTCAGGAACCAGGGCCAACTCTGACTCAGGCTCTACCTCAGCCTCCCTGTCTTCCTCCCCTGCCTGGTTCAGCTCAGGGTTGCAATAGTTGATATACTGGTACAATGGCCGGAGGCGCTGAGCTTTTCCTGCAAGGACCCGGGGCAGGACAGGGGCTGGAGCGCCAGGCTGTGCAATGACAGCTCCAGCAAGCAGGGAAAGAAGGGAAAGCCCAAGGACTGCCACTCACGCTCCAGCCCCAGGGTCTCTGGGGGTGCAGACACAGTGCTGGCTATAGCTGGAAGCATGGGAGCCCCCAGACTTTTGCGTTTCTTGGCTTTTCTGTGCTGTTTGGCAGATGGTGAGGGTTCATTCTGACAGCCCTCCAGCTCCTCTCTCTGCAGCAGCATCCCTGGTGACAGCTCAGCTTCAGTCCTAGGATGGGCATGGTAGCTAGGTCCTGGGAGGCTGGGAGACTAAAGTTGGGGACAAGAGGCCTGAGAGGCAGCCTTCAGCCTCTGGCTCCTTTGCCTTGAGCCTAGGGACTAGCCCTGCCTATCCCACCAACCCAGGACTATAAAGCTATCCCTTTCTTGGTCAATGAAATCCCAGGCCCAATAGGGTCCCAGCACTTATGTGACCTCATTCCCCTTCAAGACATGGAGGTTCCATCTCTCCTGGTGCTGGTGCTCCCTATGCCAGAGCTCTTGAGGAACAGAATAGGCAGAGTGATGATAGTGGCAGGGGACAAGAATCTGCCCCACAGACATACAGGATTTAGGAATTCTCCAGGGGTAAGTTTGAGGCTCAACCCCATCCCTGCAGTTCCTTCCCTCTGAAAAACCTCCTCACTTGATCGGTTTCCTCTTCAGTCCATGACTGGGCCCCACGATGGAGGCCCCAAGCCTGGGGCCTCTCTTGTCTCCTGCCTCTGCCTCAAGCACTTCTTCCTCCAGCTTGATCCCCTCCTCCTGGAGCTCTGGCTCTCTGCAGTGTCCTCTTGGACACACGTCTTCACCCTGGGTACTGCAGGCCTCATAAGCTGGCACTGGGCACTGGTCTCCCATCATTGAGCACTAGAGGCAACACATAGGTAATTAGTTGCCATGACCAAACAAAAGATGTAGGAATCAGTCATTCGATGCCCAACATCAGCCCCCAAACACCGGAGAAAGGGCACCAGCCCGGGCCCCTCCACTGTAAGGCCTGAACTGGCAGTTAGGGGGTCAGATCACTCAAAGTTCGGCCCTCAGAGCACCGTGGCCAAATGTTTGAAGGCTGATGGCCAGATCATCAGGACCATCACCTCAGGGCTCTGAGCATGATTAACTGGTGCCTCCACAACCTGGACCAGCCCTGCGACTGTCCCCTCTGGGGCCCCTGGCTTCCTCTCGGCCCCAGAGGCCATGGCTTCGATGGGTCAGAGCATTCTCGGCGGTTGCTGCGGTAGGAGAGCGGGCGCCCAGGGGCTGGACTGGTAGACCCTGTGTTGACTGAGGAACCCGCCAGGCGACTAGAGCCTAGCCTAGCTCCGAATGCGACTGAAGGCTGTTCCGCCCACTCGGCTGGAACTACAAGCCCCAGAAGGCTTATCGCCAGATCATTGACCCCTGACCTCAGAGATGGAAAGCTATTTGTTGCCTGGCAACAGCAACTCCCGTCAGGTTGCAGAAGCTGGCGGCAAAACTGCTCAAGTGAGCCCCCGCGGGGGGCGTGCGGAGAGGGACAGCGAACCCGCAAAGAAGTGGGCTAAAATCGGGGTCGCAAAGGCAGCAAGGGTAGGCCGGGCCATGAGCGCGGAGGGAGCTGGGGGAGTGATTGGAAGTGGAAAGCACGGCCTGGCTGCAGGGTCTGGTTGAGGGAGGAAGCACCGGGGTTCCGGCGGGAGATGCGCAGCGTGGCAGGCCTCGGTGCACGGTTGCAGGGCGTCGACCGCAGCATGTGCGAAGGCCCGTCCCGCATCTCGGGGCCCATTCCCCCAGATCCTACACTCTGCCCTGACTACTACCGGCGACCCGCCTCAGGTGAGTTGGAGCGTGCCGAGCGTGCCGCGGTGGGGCGAATTCCCCACTCCATAACTGAGCCCCGCACTCCACCCGGTCCCACCTCCTAGCCCAAGGACGCCTCGAGGGAACCGCTTTGAAGCTGGACCTGCTGACCTCGGAACCTGATTTGGACGCCGCCCCTCCCCGTGGCCCCCGCATCAGGCCCGGAGCCCGAGAAATCCTGGAGCGTAGCCAACGAGGCGTGGGGGACGTGCTGCTGCAACTGGGAGACATCTCCCTCGGTCCAGGAGCTTCTCCCAAGAGTAAGTCCCAGCCAGAAAGAGCAGCAGTTGGAGATCAAAAGTGGAGATCTAAAGGGGCTGCTCCTTCTTCCCTGACCTGGACGCTGGCTTTGCCCCTGTAGATCTGTTTCCCCAATATAAAAGGAGTAGGAAATGAACTACCTCCTCGCAGGAGTGGACTGAATGAGATAGTCCCAGGAAGTCCTAGCTTCATGCATTCATGCATCAATGGAACACTTTTAAACAGGATTCATATAGATACTAGGAAAACAAAATCAAGGACAAGTGTGGGTCATCATAAAGTTAAGGTGGGAGGCAATAAACAAGAGATAAGTGTAATATGCGAGATGATTAATGGTATACTTCACTATAAAAATGTAAAAAACTGGGGTGGAGATGTAGCTCAGTAGTAGAGTGTTTGCCTAGCATGTACGAGACCTCAGGTTTGATGTCACAAAACAATAACAAGTTAAAAATGTAAAAAATAACAAAGAGATAATGTACTATGTTAGGAAGGAAAGGCATAAGTTGATGCGATGGAATATGTGTGTGGGGTCTAACCCAGACAGGAGAGCCAGGGATATCTTTGTGCAGGAGGCAGGGTATGGGCCTATACTGAGATCTAGTTTAAGTTGGGTTGCATGGGCCATACATAGAGCAGAGCATGGCAGCATATTTTCTCCAGGGAAGGACCCTAAAGACCATGAGAAGGAAAATCTGAGGCGGATCAGAGAGATACAGAAGCGCTTCCGAGAGCAAGAGCACAGCAGGGAGCAGGGCCAGCTCAGGCCCCTGAAGGCACTGTGGCGGTCACCCAAATATGACAAGGTGGAGTCCCGACTCAAGGCCCAGCTGCAGGTATCTGTTTTAGGGAGCCAGAAATATTGTCTTTGTTGGCCAGCAGGCAAAATTATACTGTGATCTGAGTTATGGGAAGAGAAGAAATCACAGAGAATTAAGATAACAAAGTATTAAGGGACAGCTGGTACTGCTGCAGGCATATCTGGAGTCTCTGCAGAAGTGGTAATGGCTGGACTAACCATGAGGGTCCAGTAGGAATTAGGCAAGGGAAGTGGGGGAGAGAACATTCCATGGAAAGAGAACTTTACAGGTAGATGTTCTGAGACTAGAGGGTGAGCAGTGGGGATCCTGGGTACAGTTCACTGTGAGGGGGAAAAGTATAAGTTTAAGCCAAGAAGTCAGCTGAACCCACATCTGAAAGGACCACCTAAGCTACTTTCCAATGTTTTTTTGTGTGTGTGCATGTGTGCCATGTGGTTGTGTTGAGAATCAAACCCAGGGTCTCATTCATGCTAAGCATGTGTTTTACCACTAAGCTATACCCCCTGGTCTTTCAACATTTATCTGAGGATAGTAGGGAGGGCAGGGGCTGGGACTGGGGTATGGTGGCCCCTGTATTGGGTAGGCACCATTCCTCTAAGAAGGAGGAGAACTGAGAGAAAAGACAAGGTCACATAAGGATATATTGAAGCTCAGGCATCTGTGGGACTCCCAGGGGGTGGGAGTGCGTCCAGGAAGCAGATGGATGCTCAGGTCTGGATCTCAGGCATGAGATCCAGGAGTTATTGATGAGCAGGTTGAGAACAATGAGACCAAGGAAGTGGCCCCATGGATTTGAGGGCTTGGAAGCCAGCCCTCAATGACCTTGGGGGGCTGAAGCTTGCCTAGGAGGGAGAAAAAAGTGCTAACTGAACCGAATTAGAATGAAATATAGTTTGTTTCCTTAAATGTAGAAGAGACCCCCATGTTTAAATGCTAATAAGAAGTGGTCCTTTAAGAAAGAAAAGGCCCTGGGCTGGGGATGTGGCTCAAGTGGTAGCGCGCTCGCCTGGTATGCGTGCGGCCTGGGTTGGATCCTCAGCATCACATACAAATAAAGATGCTGTGTCCACCGAGAACTAAAAATAAATATTAAAAAAATTCTCTCTCTCTCTCTCTCTCTCTCTCTCTCAAAAAAAAAAAAAAAAAAAAGAAAGAAAGAAAGAAGAGGCCCTATAGGGATGGGGAGAGAAAAATCCTGAAAGGCCAGAAGGCTAGAGGCATACCCTTGTGGTTTGAGACCCTGACATCAGCCTAACTGATTCCTCTGCTATGTCCTGCCCTGCAGGAGCCTGACCCCGCCTCTGCAACAGAGCATGCCCACTTCCTGCGGGCACACTCCCGCTGTGGCCCTGGGCTCCCACCACCCCGTGTCCAGCTAACCCCACCAGGACCCAAAGCTAAGGTGAGAGGATATGTGGGAGCTAGGAGGTGGTTGGGCAGGAGTCCTGTGGGTGGGGATACAAAAGTACAACACAATGCTATTAACCCCCACCATTCTTGCCATGTCCTACAGGGATCAGGCCTGAGTGTGGATTTCATTAGTCACAATGCCCAAGCTGCCAAGAGGGCCCCCCGGCGCCATTCCCGCTCACTGCAGGCCCTGGCACAGGTGCTGGAGCAGCAACGTCAAGCCCAGGAACACTACAACGCAACACAGAAGGGCCATGTGCCTCTTTAGTAGGTCTCAGTGTCCAACACCCTGGGTGAGGGGCATCTATGGAGGGTGGGAATCAATTGCCTTGGTGTCCTCAACCCTAGGCCTGTGTATCTACAGCTTGTTGGAGCGCAGGGATATGTGGCGGCGGGAGGCTGAAGCCCGCCAGCATAGCCAGCCAGACCCTGACATGCCCCCTGGACATACCTGCATGCCTGAGAACCAGCGGCTGGAAACACTGAATAGTCTGCTCCAGAGTGAGTACTTGGGCAAGCGGGGCAGGATGGGGAGCCCACTGGGAACCATGCACCTCTGCCCAGTACTCACTGTTCCTGGGCCCCTGTAGGCCAGAGCCAGCTGCTGCGTGAGCTAGTACTGCTACCTGCCGGGGCAGACTCGCTGAGAGCCCAAGGCCACCGTGTTGAGCTGGACCGGAAGCTGGTGCAGGTAGAAGAGGCCATCAAGATCTTTTCCCGGCCCAAAGTCTTCGTGAAGATGGATGCCTGAGCCCCTTTGTTGGAGCAGTGGCAGGAAGATCCACACTGAGGATTGCCACATGGCTGCAAGAGGCAACAGGCCCGGTTATACAGCAGAGGTCCAAAAAGAGGAGCTTTCTGGGCAGGCAATATACCCAGAGTATTCTTCCCAGCTATCTGTGGTTGTAGAAGGGCCATCCCAGCCTTTAAACCCTTTTGACAAAATTAAACCTTTTGTACACAGTGGGGTTTGTTTCCATAAAAGTTTTGTTTGGAGGGAGGACTGGGGATTGAACCCAAGGTGCTAGGCAAGTGCTCTATCACTGAACTATATCAACATCCCTTTTTATTTTATTTTGAGAGAGCATCTCACTAAGTTGCCCAATCTGGCCTTCAATTTGCCATCCTCCTGCCTCATCCTCCTGAGTCACTGGAATTATAGACATGTGCCAATAATGTTTGGTCCATAGACGCTTTCCTTACTTCAAAAATGCAAAGCCCCATGACCTTCCTGCTGCCTAACCATGGGAAGGTCTTTCCACTGCCCCTGTCATTCCTGTTTCATATCCAGAGTAGAAGGTAGGCTTACGGGATTGGAGAGGAGGCTGGGACTGGGACACAGAAGGACCATGTCTGTGTTTGTATAAAACTTTTAATGTTCCTCAGGCTGAGAGGGCCCAATGGAACAAGCAAGCTAACCCCCGCCCCAACCAGGATGTCCCTACCATGTCCCAGCAGCCTAGAATAGAAAAGGGCTGCATCCTTGCCTGTCAGAGGCTGAAGCCGCTACCATCTCCTCGTATGCTACTCCCCCAGCCAGAGCTGGCCTGTTCCTGGCCATCCAGGGAGGGCAGAGAGTTTCGGACACCAGGAAGTAGGCAGCCGGGGTGCAGGTCCCAGCATGGCGGCTGAGACAGCCCATTGGAACAAGGAGGCGGTCGGTTCTCAATGACCAGGTCACTGCTGTCATCATCACTGTCGGGCTCAGCAGGCCCAGGCCCTGCAGAGGGAGGCCGTGTTAGCCGCCCAGATGCCCCTCGCACCACATTATTGCGCTGGTTGGCAGGCTTGACAGTGACAATGAGGTTATGGCTGTTGGCAACCATCATGTCCGTCACTTGGTCCAAGGTCTTCCCAGCCACCTCAATACCATTGACCTCAAGGATCTCATCACTAACTGCCAACAGCCCTGTACTCTCAGCCAGGCCCCCACGTACCAGGCGGGAGATGAATATGCCTGGAACCCGCTCCAGGCCTTGGGGAGCCACACGCACACTCATGCCATCTCGAATGTAAAAGCCCAGAGGGCGGTCTGAACCATGCTTGTGCAGTCGAACCCTTCGGTGGGTCTCAGGCAGTAGGTCCACATCTATGACTGAGGAAACCTGGCGGAAATCTTGGGGCAGGCTGATTAGCAGGGGTGGCCGGGTGCGCAGGGGTGCCACTGGTCGCAGTAGAAGCCCTCTCCTGCGCCGCTGCAGAGAGTTGGAGGCAAATGCCAGGCCGCTGGAGTCAGCTTCTGCTGCAGGAGAGGGGGGTGCTGAGATCAGAGATGCTGCTCTCCTACTTGGGCCCTTTACAGGGAGCAATGTAGCTATTTCCTACCACTTGGAGGTCAGGCCAAGGGCAAGGACTGCAGAAGGTGAAGACTGAGTGCTCTGGGTATGGACTAACCCTTGTAGACCTGCCCGGTCACCCTACCCCACCGAGGCTGCCCACTGTACCCCATTCTCCTCACCCCGCTTCTGCACCAGTAGGCGCAGCGGCGGGGGCCCGCTGGCCAGGGCCCGGTGCAGGCTGTCGTCGTTGGTGAGGGGCAGTAGGTCGCCGTGAGCATCCGTATAGCCAAGCAGCACGTCCAGGCCTGGGATCTGGTGCACTGCACGCAGCAACCGAGAAAACTCCTGGAAGCCGCTCACGGAAGCGCGGGGCAGCGCAAAGCGTCGGAACTCAGCGTCGAACTGGAGGCGGGTGGTGGCGGGGGAGAGAAGACTGGTTAGGACAGGTCTCTTTTTCACACAGATCTAAGTCTGGCAGAAGTAGGGGTAAAAAAGGGCTGCTGCAAAAGCTACAGCGTTGAACCCACACCTCAGTTCCAGTATAAGGGACGCTGTCCAAGGTCTTGTCCCCGCCCTCCACGTACCAAAACCATAGAGGGACTCTGGAGGCTGGCAGTGGAAGGAAGGAGGATGGATAAGGAAAAATAAGCAGAAAAAAAGAATGGGACGTGGAGGATAAAGGACAGAAGTGATGGGGCCAAGGAGCAGGGAAGGAGAAGGAGAGAATTGGGAGTGCCTAGGGCCGGGGCCGGAGCCGGGGCCGAAGGCGCCCTTACTTTGCTCTTCACCTCGACGATGCTGTCAGGACTGCGCGCCGGAGTCCTCTGCGGCCTCGCCATTGCGGGACCGGGCGGACCAGGGACAGTGCCCCAGGCAGCCCGCGGAGGCGCAGGTGCACAGCCCGGCTGGCCCGCCCGCGCCGCCCCGCCCCTACTGTAGCATTTGCCCCGCCCTCCCATCCGGACCATGACGTCAAGGGGGCAGCGACACAGAGGAACGCAGAGTCCACGTCTCCTAGGAAACAGAGATGTGGGTGGAGAACATTCTTCCTCTGCTCCTACGTCATTACGCTAGGGTTCGCACGTCCGGAAGAGTCTGGGAGGACGGATTTGGCCAATCCGAGAGGATAAAGAGGGAATTGACATTTATTGAGCGCTGTGTACTTTTATTTTCACTGGTCTTACAAGACTAAGCATTTTGTATATGAGGAAACTGAGTCATAATAAACTTCTGCTAAACCCCTCCGGGTCACACGGCGAAGTGGCTTCGAGCCAACTCAAGCCACCACCCTCAGATCTCAGCAGCTTCAGGCCCAGGATCACTCTGCCTGCGAGCCAGCCTTTGGCCCCTTCCTTCCCGATGTCGTGATGAACGGCCCAAGGCCAGATTGTTCCTCAGAGAGATGTCCCGATAAGAATAACTGTACCAGGATGCAGCCCATGCAGCACAGAGCTACACACAATTTTCCAAACAAGATGCTCTACTACTCACGCGCGGCGCGCGCGTGGGCGGGGCCTCGGTTTTAGGACCCGCCCAACCTCTTCCTCTTCCGATGAGAGGCGGGGCTACGGTGTCCGCGGGAAACCCCAGTCAGCCGCCTTCTACTAGGTTCTGCTGCAGGAATGGCGGGCTTGGGGAACCTGGTCCTGCGGCCCTGGATTCGAGAGCTGATCCTGGGGTCAGAAACACTTTCAAGTCCACGAGCCGGGCAGCTGCTCAAGGTGAGCCCCTAGTCAAGGCCCAGAGCCCGGGTGGGAACCGAGGTAATGGTATTGACGCGGGTCGCTGCCGTCAGGTATTGCAGGACGCAGAGACCCCGGGCCCATCCCACGCGCCTGTTGCCCCTGACGCCGGGGCTATGCTGCTTGTGTCGGACGGGACCCACAGTGTCCGGTGCCTGGTGACGCGCGAGGCCCTGGACACCTCGGACTGGTGAGAGAGACTCCGCCGGGCTCAGGGAGGTCTGAGCCCAACCCGAGAGCAAAATATGATGTTTGAGCCCGAGGTGGGTGGGCTCTCCAGAGGAGAAGGCGAGTCCCAGGCGGATGGGGCTTGTATTCCTAAGGGCTGGTCTTTGAGGGTCGCGCTCGCCCCAGGGAGGAAAAAGAGTTCGGATTCTGTGGAGCTGAGGGTCGGCTACTGCTACTGCAGGTCTGCGGGGTCCGCATCCAGGTCGCCGAGGGCTGCACGGTGAGTGGCAAGGGAAGGATGGGAAGATAACTGAGCCTGGCTTCTCATAACAACTTCTGAGCCTGAGACTTTTACCCCCAACTCACTCCCTTCAGCCTGCAGAGTTCTACCTCCAAGTGGACCGGTTCAGCCTGCTGCCCACTGAGCAGCCTCGGGTACTGGTTACTGGTTGGTAAGTGATGCCTCCAAGGGCTGGTGGTGTAGCTTAGTAACACAGTGCTTACAATGTGTAAGATCCTGACAATCCCAGCACTCAAAAGAAAAAAAATACCTCCACCACATGCATAGGCTTTTGGTCGGGAGGGCTTGGGCCCCCAGTAACACTAACTACTTATTATCCTCTTTCCCTCAGCAACCAGGACTTGGATGTGCAGAAAAAGCTGTATGACTGCCTTGAGTGAGTCTGGGGTTGTTCTCTGGGGCCAAGTGTGGCTGGGTCAGGGGATGGCAGATCTGGAACCTGAGGCCTGTCTACTGTCTTTCTATAGGGACCACCTTTCAGAGTCCACCTGTTCCAATGCAGGTACTAGTAGGGATTGCCCAGTGACCCTAAGTAATTCCCTATGGAGTTTCCTTTCTGTCATCACTGTGCATTTTCAGTAAGTACCCCTACCACCTTATATTTCCCTTTGATTACTTGGTCTCCTGTCCGCAGGCCTAACACTGTCCCAGCTTTTGGATGAAGTGCAGGAGGACCAGCAGCATCGGGGGGCACTAGTACATCTAGCTGAGAGCTGCCTAGTGCTGACAGGCCCTTGCACAGCACCCCCACTCACCCACTGGGCTGCCTCACGCTGCAGGGCCATGGTTAGTGTCAGGCTTCCCCTGGGAGATGTCAGGGTAAGGAATTGGGCAAAGGCCAGGCTAAGAGTTCACATCCCACAGGGAGAAGCTGTGTACTCTGTCCCCAGCTTATTGCTGCACATTCCTGAAAATGACCAGCAAATTCTAAGCTCTCTGGGCTCAAGTCAGAAGGTACAAGGTAAGGAGAACTGGAGAGGTCAAAAGAAGAATCTCTAGAACCCAGGGCCCACAGTGCTGATGCACATCCCAAGAACCCCCAGACTGGTTGTGAGTTGTCCCTATCAAAACTGGCTCTGCAGGACCCATCTTTGAACCTGATCTCTAATTCTTCCTCATCCAGTTCCTCAGGGGAGATGGTGCTCAGGCCACAAGCACTCACTGCTGTCAGTAAGGTTCCCAGACTGCACAGGATGCTGTAAAAGTTTGCAGCAGTGATGGGGTGACCACAGACCCTGCAGGCCTGGCTGAGCTCTTGGGCGACTCAGCTGGTCTGAGAGGACTGTACCCATAGTGAGTCTCTTCCTTCCCAGGAACTCCTGCCTTAACCTGTCACATGCCATTGGAGGAAAGCAGTGCCAGCATCAGCCTTCTGCCTGCCCTGCCTTTGGCTGCCCCGGACCTGGTACAGAAGCACAGCTCCCAGTCCCTTCCTGCCATCTGCTCAGCCTCTGGATCCCCGCCCTTCAGTTCCCCACACCCCAGTCATACATCCAACTCCCCACTTCTGAGCTGCACTCCCAGTCTCTCGCCCTTCGACCATAACCCCAGTCCATACCAGGCCCATGTGACCAGGGCCCATAAACTTAGCCTGGAGTTCAGAGAGCTAGGGTTGCCCCACAAGAACCAGCAGTCTTTTCCAAGGACTGGAGCCAAGGGAGTCCAGGAGCCCTGCCCTGTCTGGGTGAGTATTGCCCCTCTGTAATTGAAGAATAGAATGGGAAGGGCCCTGAATAGAGCTGGGAGTTGGGTAAGCGTAGCTTTGGAAGGAATTAGGGGTCCTGTTGATACCCCCTAGACACCACACTCCTTTCAGGACCCCCCAAAGAGGCATCGTGATGGTTCCACCTTCCAATATGAGTATGAACTACCATGTGCCTCCCTCTGTGCTCAGGTCCACGCTGTCAGGTGAGTGCCTGGAGCTGCCCTTACTCTGTTATTTTATTTACTTATCCCAGATTTTTTTTCACATTTACTTACTCTGTTGTTGAGTTTTTTTGTGTTTTGCAGTGCTGGGGATGAGAACCCAGGGCCTCACACTTGCTAGGCAGATGGTCTACTTCTAGGCTATATCCCTAGCCCTGCCCCTACTCTGATGGTCACCAGTTCCAGGCAACCTTGACCTGTAGCCATGGTTTCTTCCCAGGCTCCCTCCCCAACTTGTGGCATGGGCCTTGCACTTTTTGATGGAGCCACCGCCAGAGTCTGAGCTAACTCAAGTGTGAGGAGTCATGCAGGCACATCAGAGGATATGCATGTACAGATCTGTGTCTAGGTGTGGACAAACTTATGTAGTCTGCTTCCTTCAAGTTTTTTAATAAAATAATCTCATGCGGCAAGAGAAGAGAGGATCAGGGGTTGGGGCCGCCGCCTCTTTGGTCTGTGGCTGGGGAGGGTGGGCTCCTCTCTGGGCTAGAGGGCTCTGTGGGCTGTGGGAGCAGAGGCTCGGTTCCAAGGCCAGATCCTGCAAGGGGTGAGTGGAAGAAAGAAAGCATCAGGGCTGGGCTAAGTAGTTCTGCCACTCTCCCAACTGACCCTGGCCCCCTCTTACCTAGGCTTGGGGATGGGGGTGCCTCGAGCTTTGGCCTGCGCTTGAGGACAGGGGAGCGCTGAAGCCTCAGAGGCCGTTCTAAGGAGCACAAAAAGGTTAGCTCTTTGTGCATCCCCAGCCATTTTTCCCATCTGCAGTCATGCAAGAATGCACACATACTCTAAGAAGACTACTGTCTTCAGAGCTTCCCTGTTCCCTGTGTCGTCCTACCCCTTGTAGAGGTTGTTCTTTGGGAGGTAGAGCCAGGATGTAGGAGGGCTTGTCAAACCCTTGCACCTGGCCTTCTGGCTCTTGGATTTCTCCAAGGGCCAGACCACAGAAAACCCAGGAGCCTAGCCTCCCCAATCTCCTGCACTCAAGCACACATGGAGGTGTGTCCCTCACCAGCAGGGGCCTGGAGCTGGTCCTCATGCACAGACACTGCTCGTCGCCCTGCCGAGAGAGGCCGCGGCCTCAGCTGGCCATCTGGGGGAGGCCAGGGTATCAGGATACGCTCCCAATAGTTACTCCCATTCCAGCCCTTCCCTCCCATCTTCAGGGTCTCCAGGGAGACAAGTTTCCAGCCAGGACTCCCTAGGCCCCAGCCCAGGGTTGGGGGTGGTTTGCCTGCCTACCTTCATTCCTGGGGCCCAAGCAAGGGTCCTCTGGGAGGCCCAAGCTGTCTGGGGAGGGGCTTGGGCTGGGACAAGGGGAGGGAGGTCCTGGACCATCCTGTTGGCCCCAACCACGTCCTCTGAGCTCTGCATTCAACTGCTGTCCCAGTGTCTTCCAGGTGGCAGACTCAGGCCCCTGGCCCCCTGGGCCAGGTCTGCATGAGGGGTCTGCAGGGAGAAGGTTGTCAAGACCTGGTCCAGGTCCTGGAGATGGGTCTGAGCAACGGTCTTACCCCCTCTCTTGCCTGTCCCTGCACCTCCCATAACTCAGAGTGGCCTTTACTCACCAGCAGAGACAGAGTGGGTACGTGACTTCATCGAGATGGGAGGGGTCTCCGTGGAACTGTCCATAATGTCACCTGCAAGTTGGGGCTGGGGGCTCAGACACCAGGCATTAGGGGCAAGGGAAAGAAAAAACTCTGGTCCCTCCCGCTCCCCCAGAAGAGTAACTGAGGTAACAACTATCTTTTCTTTTGTGGTACTGGGGATTGAACCCAGGGATGTTTAACCACTGAGCCACATTCCCAGGCCTTTGTATTTATTTTATTTTGAGAAAGGGCCTCACTAAATTGCTGAGGCTGGCTTTGAATTTTCAATCTTCCTGCTTCAGCCTCCCATGCCACTGGGCAGGCATGTGCCACTGTGCCCAGTGAGGTAGGGACTATCTCTAAGGATACCTCCCTGCCCCTAATATACTACCTTACCCAGATTCCCACTTACCATCTGAGCCAGCTTTCTTGATCTCACCATCTTTGCTCTGTAGGAAACAAGATAGTCACACCCCAGCCCTGCCCCTCTCACCCTAGCCTTGTCCATTTATTCATTCTTATTCTTATCACCCAGCCATAGAACATGGCAAACCCACCCCCAGCCCCCTGAGAGCTCACAGTCTGGGATGACAGGTAGTTGGCACATCAAAATATGCATGCACATTTGTAGACACATAATGTTATTTCTTAATTCTGTGGTACTTGTCACACTTTGTTTCTAAATGGAGGCTGGGTCTCACTTTATACCATGTTCTTTCTGAAAAGCTATTAAGTAGATGGTACATAGGGTTGTGTGTGTGTGCATGCGGGGGTGGGGGGTGGGGTTCAAACCCAGAATTTTACACATACTAGACAAGTGTTCTACCACTGAGTTACATCCCCTAGCCTTTTAAACTTTGAGACAGGGTCTTACTAAATTGCTTAGGTTGGCATTAAACTTGGAGTCCTTTTGCCTTAGCCTCCCCAAATAGCTGGGATTATAGGCTTGGGCTACCACACCCAGCAGGATGGACTGTGGTTCTTAAGAGGGACTATGATTAAAAAATGACATTAGCAAGGCAGCCAAGGAAGGAAATACAGGAATGGCTGAGGAGGAACCTGGTGTAACCCATGATGAGACTGGATGTGAAGCAGGGAGGAGTCATGCTGTGGAACACCTGAGGAGGCTCATTCCCCAAAGGAGGAGAGCAGTGAGGCCTATGGTGGCCAAGGCTCTATAGGACCATGTAGCAGGATTAGGAGTTTGGACAAGGTCTTAAGGGGAAGTCCCGTGGCTGTTTCAAGTATAGGTAACAGGGTCTGATTTCTGTTAGATCTGCAGAGGAAGTACTTTCTTAGGTCCTAGAAAAGATCAGTATCCTGGGCCAGGTCAGAAGCCAGAAGGGAATAAAGTTAAGTCTGAGACTATTTTGAGAGGGAAGGGAGTTGAACTGAAAATTAAATTTGTGTGTGTCATAAGTCTCCTCCCCCTTGGTCACATATGTCACCCACAGATTGCCACATGTCTTCTGCCCCCTCACTTCACACTCATGACCTCCCCAACTCACTTGCTTCCTCTTGCCTTCGGCACCCCCACTGCCTCGGCTTACGCCGATCCTCTGCAGCATCACTTGTACCCGCTGTTCAAAGGATGGGGCCAATTCTGTGTCTCCCCGCTCCAAGGGCCTCCGCTGGGACAGAGATAAGTAAGGAGAGAACCCACTGCCCTCAGTTCCAGAAGAGTCCTTGTCCCTGTCACCAGGCCTCACCTTATCAGGTCTGGCACCCAGTGTTGCCTCCTCCTCCTCAGCAGGCAGCAGTATCATCGAGTAGGCCTTGCTCTCCCGTGTGTAGCGAGGTCGGCTCCTGCGGGCAGTGTCAGGGCTGCTGGTGCCTCCCTCAACCCCACCAGGATCTTCACCACGCCCAGGCCGCACTGGTGTCCGCAGCAAATCTCCAAGTGTGGATTTCCGGGTACGGGCTGCTGCCCCAGGGCTGGTCTCTAGATCAGGCCGGGGACCCCGTGTTGAACGAGGCTTCTTAAAGGCAAAGAGAGTGCCCAGCTTCTTTCGAAGTGTACGGGGGACAGGAGTGGGACCCCCCTCAGTGGCCAGGTCCTCCTCGGGGGCCCAGCTGTGGGGATAACCAGCAGTAAGTGCAGAAGCCCATGGGCAGCACCCCCCTCCCACCCTCAGCAATGCCCCTGGCTCACAGACGATCCTGCTGGATCAGCCTTTTGGAGAAGAATTCCTCCACACCCTCATCCACGCGGGCACTGAGCCCATTCCCTTCCTGTGGTAGGGCTGGAGGCACCTGGGGGATACCATGAGGTCAGGGGTCAGGGCTGGGTGAACTTGTGTCTTCTCTCTCCAGTGTAGCTGTTGACCCTGGTAACACTAGGAGCTGGGGTAGCCTTAGCTGACACCAGACCCTCCACTGTCCAGTGTTGGGCAGGAGTGCTCCCTCTAACTGCTGCCCCAGCCCCCCAGCCCACACCAGTTCTTGTCCAAGTATCTCATTCCCTGAAACACCAGGCCACCAGTAGGCTACAACCCTCCTACCCCGCGGGGGTCACATACTCCTGCTTAGCACCCACTGTTCCCAACAGTTCCTGCAGTACCCCCACCCCCACCCCGGCCTGCTGCCGGCTTAGTGGCGCCGGCTGCTGCGTCAGACCCTCGGGCGGGCGGGGGGGGGGGGGGGGGGGGCCTCAGGCCAGCTTCTGCCTTCTGCTGGTACCCAGCCCATGCATGCATCTCCCCTGTTATATACTGACCGGTCTCGCAGGAGTCGCAGGATTGTCCCCGCGGCTCGGCTGCCTAGCACCTATCAGTAACACCCGGGGAAAGAGGGCAAGACGGACACCCTCCCTCACACATCCACCCATGCAGCGGGCCACTCTGAGGCGCATCCCACATGAAACCCACACACCAGTGGCCTCTCAGGCATGGCCTGGGGTAGCGGGTGGCCGGGAAGAAGCCAGGACGCGACCGAGGACTTACGACCAGGTGGCCTTGGGCCCCCACAACCCGACTCCCTGCCAGCCCTCACCCGTGAGGAGCCATCAGGCCACTTATGACCCTTAGGTCTAAAAGCTCCTGAGTGGGGGAAGGGCGCTCACCTGGGGGCCCCCCGGCGGGGGGCGATGGTGGTGCTGGCGGCGTGGCCTTGGCCGGGCCAGAGTCGGATGGCGCAGGGGTTGTCCGGCGGGTGGCAGGTCCATGCGAGGCAGCGGGCCGGCTGGGGGTCCGGGGGCGGCAGGGCTTGGAGAGCCACGCGCGGACGGCCCCGCCTGCGGCTCCGCATCTTCCCCAGGAGCCGCCAGCTCGGGCTCCCGCTCCGCTTCCTCAGCAGCACCTGAGGTGAGAGCACCAGAAGAGCAAGGAGCAGGAGTCCGAGGAGGTGGCGGCGGAGGCGCTAGGGCGGCGGGGGACCCGCCCAGGGCGCGGGGAGGGGCCCGGCTACGCCGCCAGCCCCTCCCCCGCCGCCACTGTCCGTGGTGCTGAGCGCGGCCCCGAGTGCGCGGCTCCGCACCATCATCAAGAACGCATGTTCTCGGGGTAGGGAACAGGCAGGGAAGGCTAGGGAGCCGGTGTTCTGGCCCAGATCTGCTCAAATCTCACTCCGTGCTGACCTCAGCTTTGCAGGTTGCACAGGGTCTTGGCCTGGCCCAGGCAAGGGTTAGAAAGTACTGGAAACAGGACTGAATGAGCGTCAAGGTGTCCAGGTCCCCAGGTCTAATGGAGTGAGTTTCAGCCCGCTTGAGTAAACTCTCCTTCCCCAAGACCTTGACTTACGGTGACCAGAGGGAACCAGGTGAAAACAGTGACTGGGCTCAAGCCATTTTCCTGATGGACAGTCATCCTGGTGAGGAGGGCACAACTTCAGGCTA